TTGCCACAATCTTCACACACACACACACACACACACACACACACACGCACGCACGCAGAGTCCGGACCCGCTGTGCCCCGGTGGTTTTTTTGTTGTTGTTGTTGTTGTTGTCGTTGTTGAGGCTTGCCTTTGTTTCTGAGACACGCCTATTTCTGGAAACCATTTTGAAATTAAATACATTCAGATCCGGGCTTGCATATCTTTTTTTTTCTTTTTTTTTAATTCTCTCTCTCTCCCTCTCTCCCTCTCTCTCTCTCTCTCGCTCTCTCCCCTCCCCCCCTCCTCTCCTTTTTTTAAAAAAAGCTCCAAGCTCGTATTCCTTTAATGGCACCTCTCCTTATTCTTTAATCGCCCGTCTGCAGTGCATTGTGGGAGGTATCGACCATCAATAATTAAACAGGGCCCAATCCCCTCGTCAAACAAAAAATAAAATAAAAATGAGATCATATAGCGCCAGGCAGCGATGAGCAGGCCGGGATAAATTTTAAAATGGTTGGAAGGAAAGCCCCCCCCCCCCCCCCCCCCACCCCCAGACTGGAAAAATGTGCCCTTCCCCCATTGGTTTTTTTTCCCGCCCTAATGTAATAGAAGAGAGAGAGAGAAAAAAAATTTATTGTATTCACCTTCCTCTGATATAGAGAGGCCTCACATTAAATCATATCAGATTTCATTTTTGTTCCGACCTTACGTTGTCTTTGTCCTGGCCGTTCCTTGTCAGTCCTTGACGTACAGCAGTTCGTTTAGTGACCATTCAAAGTTACAACAGCACTGGGGGAAAAAAAAGACCGGTGACCCTTTTTTTTTGCAGTTAAGACCTTTGCAGCATCCCCAGGATCGCCTGATCAACATTCAGACTGCTTGGCCGTTGACTCATATTTATGACGGTCATAGTGCCCCGGAGTCGTCCAGATCATTTTAACAACCAGGTTACTTAACTTATCGACTGCAGGGATTCACTGAACAACTGTGGCAACAATTTCATGATCTGATTTACCTGGATACAAATTATACTTATTCAAGATTAGGATAGTATCTTAATCTGTAGATTATTAGGAAAGTTTTGCTTGAGGCTGTTTCATTGCAGAAAATGGTGACTTGAATAGAATAGGAATAGAATAGAATAACAGATTTAACAGATAATCAAAGTCGGAAGGGACCTTGTAGGTCATCTAGTCCAACCCCTGCCCAAGCGGGAGACCCTACACCATTTCTGACTGATGGCAGTCCAGTCTCTTCTTGAAAACCTCCAGGGATGAAGCGCCCATAAACTTCCGAGGGCAACTTCTGTTCCATCGGTTGATGGTTCTCCCTGTCAGAAAATTCCTCCTTATTTCCAGGTTGAATCACTCCTTGCTCAGTTTCCATCCTTTGTTCCTTGTCTGGCCTTCGGGGGATTTGGAAAACAGCTTGACCCCCTTCCTCCTCTCTGTGGCAGCCCCTCAGATATTGGAAGGCTGCTCTCCTGTCTCCCCTGGTCCTTCTCTTCACTAGACTAGCCAGGCCCAGTTCCTGCAACCGTCCATCGTATGTTTGAGCCTCCAGTCCCCTAAAATCATCCTGGTTGCTCTTCTCTGCATTTTTTCTAGAGTCTCAACATCTTGAGACTCTAGAAAAAGGCAAGGAAGGTCATAATGTGCGGCAAAACTTCACAGATGTCTCGCTTAGCAAGTTTTGGGTTCAATCACAGTCGTAAGTCGAGGACTACCTACATAGCTCCTTGCATGGCATTCAAGGTCCAAGAATGACTTTTGGTCTGGAAAAAAAAAGCAAAACACAAACCATTGGGCATTCCTGAGTTAAGGAAAGAGGGCATATACTTTCCTGCCTTTCGCACCTTTTTACACTCTCTGTTATCCTGCCTATTTTTTTTTTTAACACGGCTTACGATTTCTACAACGCAATGATCTTCCAAACCGTGGTTTGTAAAAGCATCTACGTTTCTGTTCAGCTGTGATCAAGCTTGCACGACCGTAGTTGTCGGGCAAGCCGCGTCTGAGTCAAAACGGAAGGGATTCCAAGTGTGCTCAGAAGAAGGAAAGGATAAAGCCATCGCTGCAGTTAAT